CCCGAGGTGTGTGACATGGATATTTACGGTAACATACCATCTCTAAACACAACACCACCCGCTTCTGTTCGACAGATGGCAGGTGTAATACCAGACGGATATCATCTTCTGTAGATGCCATTCATCCATGGTTCTCCAAATAATGGATCTTCCGACTCATTGCGCCATTTAGGAAAAGGCGCCCAGAACCATCAATTCATTTGATGCAGTGGTGTACCATTAGCCTCCGCAGAATCACTGCATATTTATGACATTGGTGAGCTTAGCACTGCTGGAAACAATCATGGCTCTGAGAACTGTCGCCATGGCCTCTCCTAAAGTGGTGTGTTCTCTCATTACTAATGAGTGACTAGGATTTATCAGGGTTGCGAGTTGACATGAGACTAGTATGTCCATACACCCACGAATTGCGAGTGGAAACTAGTGTTATTATGACTTCCTTCGTTGAGAATTTTGAGACCTGATGTTGCCGAGAGATTACATGGAAGACTGACACAGCTCGAGGAGCTCCTAGAGCGTCGAAACAATGATCGCCCAAAGTATGCAAACTGTGTAGCTCACATCCTCTACTCGCTGTATCACTCAGCCATCCGTTGGTGGGAATACTCATCTCACACTGGCAGGGGACCGTGAAGAGCATGTACAAGCCCAGAGGGATAAACATATCTCTCTCGGGGAAGAATTGATGTCCATACGTTCCCCAAGAATTCGGAGTTGTGTGGTCGTTCTCGGCACCGACATCGTCGCCATTGCTCGTCCGAGGGCAATCGCGTACGCGGCTCGATCCTGATCATATGCATTGATATACTGGAGAATCTTTCCGATGATACGGCCTACTTGATGGTGGAGGGATTCCCACTATGGACCATCCTGCGCCCATGATAGCATCCCATGCGTTCAGTTTATTCCATTCGTGATACACAATAGGTGCGAGCGCGACGAGTTGAAGCCTCTTCCTCCCAATATGGGTTCTCTCAGTTTCAAGTGACAGGCCAGTCTTGGCCCCATCCGTATCTCGCGGGACCAGACATATGCAATCTATACGGTCGTGTGAGTATTGCCGTAGTTTTCGGTTGCCTCGAGCGGGATCTTCACTACTCTAGCATTCCTCTGCCGTACTATAATATCTCTTAGCTCGTGCATAAGGAAATTGCTCATCATCACGTTATCGTTCACTGCTTGTCGGTCTCCGAACTCGACCCTTCCTACCGAATATCGGTCCACCTCAACGCCCCGCTCCGCTGCCTACGGAAGCATTCCAGTGTTATAATATGCTCAGCATATTATGTTGGAATGGGAAAAAGTACGGAGGCTACATCTCCGAGAATCATATCGAGTGCGGGTTACCACCAGATTCGCCGTGATCGCTCACAGGCAATGATTTGCACAACAACACAGGATACTACACTTCTGTATTGACACTCCCGTTGAGGTTGAGACCAACTCTATCCGTAGTAATCCTCTTAACTATGGCTAACGCATTTGAAGGTCCTGGTGGTCGGAGGTCCTCAGCCAGTAAACTATTCCCTCCCAAGTTTGGTACACCTACTGGACAAGAAGTGGATGAAGAGAAGTTACTGCATATCTTTAAAGAGATAGATACTGATCATTCTGGGAGTATCGATCTTGATGAGCTCGGAGAGGCTATGCGCATGCTTGGCATAAAGTGTAAGCATTACTTGAGGCAATGACCTCATCGTTGGTTTATGATGTTGTACATATCACACAGGTACGTATGCGTTCGTTAGGAAGGCTTTGAGAAGCATTGATACTGATCGCAACGGTGAGAAGTCGGTGTGGCTGGACATATGTTGGATGTTTCATCAGGCACTATTGAGCCTCACGAGTTCGTTAAATTCTTCTCGACGGTCACTAATCCCGACGAATTCCGTAATTACTATGGTAAATAGGTACGTTATCGAGTGCTGTTGGAGTAGGTGATTTGTTGGGAAAGCAAAACCAAAAATATTATGATTACAAGACCATGGCATCCGAGGATCCGACTTTTGGTCGAAGATTCCGTATTCCTCAAACTATCTCACGTAACCTTTTCGTCTCGTCTAGTGAAGAGCAACAGTCTTGAAGCGTGTAAGGTAGAGTTCTCCACGTGAATGTCAGGTGAGCATAAGATATCCAAGCACCAGGAGAGTGTCGAGTCTGTTAAGTGGTTGGATCGCAACCGATTCATCAGCGCCTCTCTCGACCGTACGGTAAAGGTAAGGTACCATGCGAGGCGAGTTGCAGTCTGATGACCGTTAGCGATTCTCAGATCTGGGATGTCTCCGCTCCTCTCGAGCCTCTCGCTTCGTTTGACTATCCTTCACCGATCTACTCCATGACCGCATCTCCCAAGGGTAACACTGCTCTCCCGCATTGGACGTTTTACCACTTCCTGTATTGCAGGAACATGGGCCGTGATGGGCTTCGGTAAGGCTATCGACAAAGAAGAACAGATGTATTTGCATCGCGCTAATTTGATTATATCTCCCTTCATAAGATACTTGTCTGTGTTGGATATCGATAATAAAAACACGGAGAAGGCTCAGATGAAGGGGCAGGATTCTCCTGTATTCGCCACCGCGATTTCCCCAGGCGAAATGTGATGCCTCTTCTCAAGAGGGTCTTTGATTCTCGTGCTGTCTACTTCAGGTATATCGCATCGGGAAGCAAGTCTGGTAGAGTCCTTTTGCACGACGTAAGGACTTGCAAGTTATTGTCTGAGGTAAGCCCTTCGATACCATTCACCCGATCTTCCAGTGCCTTTCAGCTACGTCGGAGTCCCCGCATTATACAAGCTATTGACTTTAGTGAGGATGCCAGACGTGTGGTGTCCTGTGGCAACGATGGTGATGTTGCCCTAACCGATATTTCGGTGAGCCACACATCGGTTCCGCACTCTCTGGACTTAGCTTATTCTTACAGGCTGCACCAACGACCAGACCTCTTTCTATTATAGAAGAGGCCGCAGCCACTGATATAGTGTCAGCACCTAGAGAAGCATTTCCCTCTTACGTTGGGAGCTCGTGTGCAGGTATGATGTCGCTTTTCGTGGAGAGTATGAGATCATCACGTGCGGAGTGACTTTTGTTGTAAGAGTGGGATCTGCGGCAGATCAAAGTGAGCAGTGC